GTGAATAGCAGTGGTCGGTATGTATCATTACGAGACCGGCGACGGCAGTTGGTGATAGGACAGCAGAGTGTCCTCTATGGTGTCCAGAGACCTCCAAACTATGTCGTCTACAGCCATGGCGTCTATACTGGTTCTAATAATGGTGCTTACGAGATGATTCACATAAGCCAGATCGACAGTCAATGGCTGGTTGATGTAGCGCCTACTCTTTATCGACCTGTCAAGCGTAAGTAACGTTTCAATAGAACCCCCATCAGTGTCAATGAGTCAACAAGTCAATGCAAACGACGACCAACTCAAGTTTGTTTATATGTTCGATTTCAGTCGTCGATGAAAAATGGAATCTTCATACTGCGGAGAATCTTACAGTCACTACACGGTTTGGAGGCCTATTTCGTTGTTAGTTGGGTGGGGCCGCTATGCCACTACTACCCCAAGATATGCCTTGGTACAACCGATTTCGCTGTTAGTAAGATCAATTCTGTCGGCCGGGGCGGCTATGCCACCACTACCCCAAGATATGCCTTGGTACAATCAATTTCGCTGTTAGTAAGATCGATTCTGTCGGCCGGGGCGGCTATGCCACCACTACCCCAAGATATGCCTTGGTACAATCAATTTCGCTGTTAGTAAGATCAATTCTGTCAGCCGGGGCGGCTATGCCACCACTACCCCAAGATATGCCTTGGTACAATCAATTTCGCTGTTAGTAAGATCGATTCTGTCGGCTGGGGCGGCTATGCCATCACCCAAACATGAGCGCCCAGTTATCGGGCAAAAGATTGAGTTGGCCTGAAATCGCTGTGGATGCATATAAGTAGTAGACCAGGTGATGCTCTCCAGCCTAGGTCTTGGTCTTTGAGCTCTTGCGATCGAGGCTTAGTGCTCGAGCGGCTAACCCCAGCCGTCCGTGGAGTAAACACTGATGCTAACCCCACCTGTGCCTCCACAGTAAGTTTTGTAAGCCAGTGTTGCTGCAAAAGTGCCGGAGGGGCCTTTGCGTGAACTTCAGAATCTCCCCCTGCACAATCCATTGTTAGTAACCATCCCTTATTGGATAAATCTTCAGTATTTAATGGGCGATCCTATCTACCTCGTCACTGAGGTGACGTTCCCAGGATCCTTAAGACCGCTCCCAATGATCAGTCGATGGCCAGCGGCGGACGAAGCGATGTCACCGAGGGCCGGAGCATGCTTTGATTGCGTTGTTTTCGATAAGCTCATGAGGAGGGCATGGACAGGATGCGTCTTGCAAACGAATATGGTAGACCACATAACTTGGGACAAAGGTTAGTATTATGGATATATTTTTGGAGAGGCTCATTATTCCTGGTTCAGATACAGTAACCCGCCTGAGGGAAGTTATCAAGTCTGGCGATGGAGTCGAGCTAGAGAGGAGTGGCGAGGCTGTCCTTCTCTCAGCGGCTGCGCAGCTGACAGTTGGGAAGCTATCGCTGATTAGAGATGTCAAGTTAGAGTCGTCAAGTGAGGACGCTATGAGTAAACTCACTCGTTGGGCAATTCCAAAGGCTTGTGGTGGGAAAGTGAGTCAGCACTGTGAAGGGATCATTTTTGACATTCTCGCGATCCCTGATTCTTGGCTCACTGTATTCGGCATACTCCCGTGGTTCTCCCGAGGTACCAACCAATGAGCTCAGTCAGAAGGGTAACGAGGTTAGACATATATCGACTGGTGTGGCTTTAAGGGTTCAAGACGAGCAGGATGTCGGGAAATTCTATCAGGAGGTTGAACAAGGGCTCGCCAGACTGCGGCAAAAGAATACCGCGTTACGACGGGAATGCATCCAAACGCTCGGTAGGTTAGCGGGGGAACTATCTTCGTCGGAAGCCCTTGCATAGAAGCTCCACACATTCACCATACATGGTGAATCGCAAGATCCCTTTCTGGTCAGGTCACGAGATGTACATGACATTGATAAGTGAAGTTCCTCTGCCAGAAGTCACCGATGATGAGGTTAACCAGGAGTGGCAGACATCTTATTAGTTTCTCATTAGCTTAACAGCCTCACGTTCGATCAATTCTCTCGAGGCACTCGTGATTGAGATTGACTTCGGGTCAGCGTTGCGCAGATAGCGCAACTCGTTCTTGTGTGTGTTTGCAAATTTGCGCGCTCGAATACTGCGATGTGTAGGAACTCTGAAGTCAGAGAGCAGCTCTGTGAAACCCGCATGAAATACGAATTAGTTATTCATAAGAAAATGGATAGTTGCACTCTGGAGCTGATGCGACTACAGCAGCTTGAGCAACGTTGCTAGGAGAAAACCCGGGCTCTCAGATGAACGCTATAGCATTGTGCATCATCGGCGATAGGAGCTTCCGCGATAATCCGAGCGCAAGCGTACGGTTCTCCATCAGTAGAATTCCGTGTTGTTGATCTCGATAATGGTAGCCATGGGTCCTGCTACGGCGAGAGTAGTATGCTATTCATTCATCGTGATTGGCACACTTATTGCTGTCCTATTCACTACTGATTCACTCGTCATGATGCTTGCTCCAACAGTCACGTCTGTCAGCGAGGCTTCGGTGCCTCTGGTTAGGCGAAACGCGCTTATCGCGATCTGCTTCGACACACCTGGCAAAACGTCGATGACCAGCGGCTGCCGTATAACGTTAGCTTCCTTTAGACGATCGAACTC